CTGTCTTTGTAATGATCTTTTGCACTCTTCCTGGGTAATACTCTTGATATCCTCCCACAACTCATCTGGTCTTTGCTCCTTGGTGTTCAAGGCCTCAAACCTGTTGCTTAGATAGTTCTGAAATTCAGGTGGGATAGACTCAAGGTCATATTTTGGTTCCTGTGGATTTGATTTAATTTTCCTTCTTGTCAGCTTGAACTTGCATATGTTGGTGGTCTGTTCCACAATCAGCACATGGCCTAGTTTTCACAGCTGATATTGAGCTTCTCCAATGGTTCTTTCCACAGATGTAATCAATCTGATTCCTATGCATACTATGAAGTGAAATCCATTTGTATAATCTGCATTTATGTTACCAAGTATCATAAAATCATACTTTCAGGGGATGATTGCCATTTTTGCTTTAATATTGACAACCATAATCCAAATCAGGACCATAATATATAAATACTTTAATTAAATGATAAAATAATGGAAAACTTTAAACAAGTATATATACAACAATTTTGAACAATATAATATTAAATTTTGTAAAATCCCATCGAGTTAAACCTTTTACATAAGGTAAGGAAACACAGACTCGAATGTAATTGTTTTAATTTCTTTTTAAATTTAGAGGTGGTAACATTACTACTATGATAGTATGAATAATTTCCAATCTAAATAAAAATACATTTCAACAGAGATCCAATTTTTATAAGTGATTTTGATATGAAAAATGTTGAAAACTTGGATATGGTTCCACCATTTCTCCTCCATGCCAAGAGATAGTGTTATTAGCATGAGTAGTTAGAAATCCTTGGAAGGAGGAGTGGCATTCACTTCCATAATAGCTTGCCTCGGGAAACCCTATGAACCTGGAGAGAGGATGAAAGGCACCCAAGCGTCGAGGACTCTCCTTCATAGGGTCGCTATGAGTTGCCTGCGACTCGACGGCACTTAACAACAACAACAGTTATAAATCCATTGCCTTCCTTGCACTAACTTAAGTTTTTGGTGTTTCTATGCTGATGAGCGGAACCAACAAAGCTCCAATCAATGACGCCTCTGTAGGAAGTATTAATTAAAACTCATTCCTGCTCTATTCAACATTGTCTCCAATGTATCAATTTTCTTTTTTTTTTTTTTTTTTTTAATTTTCTAAGAAAGATAAAGCAACTGACAGGGAGGACTATCAGAATAACCTGAAGTTATGTTACTGATGTCTCCATGAAAATCATACCCTTAGAACATGTAATAGAGAGATGTACTATTACCCAAAACTTTATAAAGCCTTGCTTATGCTACTTTCAGACAAGGGGATTCGTATCCAATGCATCCTTTTTTGTTTAGATTGAAGGCATACCCTGTTATAATGGGAATCTGGAAACTACTGGCTGTCATTATAAATAGGTACAAGCACATCAAAACAATGGGTTATTTTTAATAAGAGAAGATTAGAAGTACATGCCCAATAGCTAGTATTAGCTGCCATTCTATTTACCCATTTTGCAATTCCATCCTTGTCGAAGTATGGCCTCTTTCAGCTCGTCTTGGGGTTTCTTGTCTCTGGATGGTACCCACAGCATTTCTGTGCCTGTAGAAATATAAGCAAATCCTCAACCCTAATGAATGACAAATCCCTTTTTTCCATTCATTAGTTGTTGTTGTTGTTGTTGTTATGTGCCATCAAGTCGTTTGCAACTCATAGCGACCCTATGTACAAGAGCTCTAAACGCTGTTCTATCCTGTGCCAACCTAGCCATCACAAACGCACTTATTCCCACCACTCCAGTCACAGAATCGATCCATCTCATCGAATGTCTTCTCCTTCACCGCCCCTCCACTCTGCCAAACATGATGTCCCTCTCCAAGGACCAGTCCCTCCTTGCAACATGCCCAAAGTATGCCAGATGAAGCTTCAGAGTACCTGACTCCAAGGAGCATTCCGGCTTCACCTTCTCCAGGACAAACCTGTCTGGTCTCCTAGCAGTCCATGGTATATTCAACACTCCTCTCTAGCACCACAGCTCAAAGACATCAATTCTCTTTCTATCAACCCTATTCATTAGTTAGAGGTTCTTTAAAATATATATGGTGATTCAATTCTTTAATCGAGTGTAATACCCAATGACTTTCAGCTGGAGTTTCTTCTTTTTCATTGTTGTTGTTGTTGTTGTTGTTATGTGCCATCCAGTCGCCTGCAACTCATAGCGACCCTATGTACAACAGCCCTAAACCTTTATCTTGTGCCAACCTCATTGTCTCCAACACACCCACCCCGGTTACCCTAGTCACTGATTCAATCCACCTCATAGAGCGTCTTTCTCTCCTGCCCTGTCCCTCCACCCTCCCAAGCATGACATCCTTCTCCAAGGATTGGTCCCTCCTTGCAACATGTTCAAAGTATGTCAGACAAAGCTTCAGAATCCTAGCCTCCAAGGAGCAACATGTTTTAACCCTCTCTAGGACGAATCTGTTTGTTATCAGTCCCTGGTATATTCAATACTCATCTCCAGCACCACAGCTCAAAGGCATCAGTTCTCCTTCTATCCTCCCTGGTCATTGTCTAGCTCTCTGATGCATAGCAAGTGATTGCAAAGACTATGGCCTGTATCAGATGCACCTTAGTCTCCAGAGTAACACTGTTGTTCTTCAGTGCGTTGGAGCATTTAAAAAAAAATTAAAGTACGTAAGGCTTTTTGTAAAATACTTTGAGGAGATGATATTCATGCTATCACATCTCCCCCCTTTGTTTTTTCAGCATAGTTTGTAAAGTCTAATTATGAAAATCTTCACTAACTTTAACACTTTTTACTAATAATTGATCTATTTTATCATTTAATTGTGACATTGGTCCTGGAAGGCCAGAATGAGCTCAAATATGAGTGAGGGGTGTGTGTGTGTGCGTGTGTGTGTGTGTGTATATGTGTGTGTATTTATGACTCTCGTTACTGAATTAAAACTTGTAACATAGTAAATAACGTAGTAATATTAGTATCTTGAAAAGGAGTGTACTGTTTATATATTTCTTACAGTAAACTCATCATATTGTGAATCAGTAACTCTAGTCAAAGGAAAATTTTTATCTTGCAGTAACATAATAATAACATCTAATTCAGCCTGTTGATCAAAAGTCAAGTTAGTTTTAACATCTTTATAATCTTTACCATTAGTATAACCTGCATAATCCATTTTATTTACATCTGTATAATAAGTATCTTGCAAAAGTGAAATTTTTACTTTGGCTGATAATATCCAATTAGTCCCTTTACCTGATTTCTTTTTTATTACAAACACTGGAGAATACCAAGGACTAATAATTTCCTGTGAATTGTTCTGAAATAAATTAGCCTAAAGCTTCTAATTTCTCAGGAGCCACTGTTCCACCCTACAGCTTTTTCTCAGAGGCATTCCTCTTTTATAATGAGCATGGCACTTAGAATTGGGAAAGGGATTTTTCTTAACAGTTCAGAAAGACTGTTTGGATTTTACAGATAGTCAATCAAGGGAACTCAACTTTTGTGACACATTTTGTAACCTTTATTCTTTGCTTTTACCCTGGGAACTGAGTTTCATTTTCTCTCTTACCCACTTCTAAAACTTCTAGATCACCTTATTTATTTTTTTAAAATTTCATTATTTTTTGTGTGTACCATCAAATCAGATCTGACTGATACAGGAGGAGATTGCCCCTCCTTCTTCAGCAGAGCATCTGGTGGATTTGAACCGTGTACCTCTGAGATTGCAGTGCAGCTTCTTGCCACTAGGCCACCAGAGCTCGCCTAGATTACCTTATTTATGCAGCTGTGAAAGACTGGTTTTGTGTTTGTCTTTGGCATTCAGGACACTACCAAAGATAAACAGACTAGCTAGCTTTATGACCATTAACCACAGCCTATTTTAAAAATTTTTTACTAATTTAGAGATTTTATCATCTTAAACATTTTTCAGCTCCAGCTTTTATTTATCTATCTTTATAACTTATTCTTTGCTTACTTTATTTTCCAGAGCAAGAGTTTTCTCTTAAGTTAACTTCGTTCTTATATCCTTTACTTTTCTTATTTTACTGAAATTGTCAGAATTGTATAAGCTCAAAACTTTTATTACATTAAACTTAAGACAAAAAGCAAACAAAGAAACAACAGCAGCAAACTTAAAACAAAGCAATCAACACAAACACAGGCTTCTGCTTTAAGCTTTAGAACCTCTCTCTATTTTCTTTTTCTAAACCATGTTTTAAATTATAAATCATTTTCTGGGAAGAGCACTATTTGAGTCAATGCATGCTAATTAAGAGAAAATAATAATTCAGGATTGTCTTCCTAAGGTTCTTTCTAAAGGTGACATAGGCTGTTTCTTGCCTTTAGCTTTAACGTTCTCTAACATAGTATCATTTAATTCATATTCATACAAAGATTTAGCCATCTCTCTTTGCAAATTTTTTTATTATCAGTACAATCCTGCACAGACATTGTTACTGTTCTTTTCAAAGTCCATACTGGCTGAAAATCAATAGGAATTTGTTCTCCTTTTTGATGTGCTCTTCGTAAATCTCTCATAACATTATGCCAAGTTTTTTAATTTAACTGTGTTCTACCTACTGGCCTAAACCAGCAACAGTGCTTCTGCACATATCAAAACAACTTCAAAAAAGACCTTTCTCTCACCTTTACCCCTGAGCTCCCAAGTGATTCCTTTAAGAGAGAAATATATTGAGCTTGAGAGGTGGAGGTGTCCCCCATGACTTTTTTTTATCACTTCTACCTCTAAATTTTTAATTAGTTTACTTAGATAGTGGGGGAAATCCCCATGAAATTTTTTTTTCTACTTTGCCTCATGAATTTCTCCTTCACGAGGTGAAGAAAAACCTCCTAAAATTATTTCTACTCAACGTTTGAGTATTTCTTCATGACCCCTCCTTTAATTTTCCCAAAAGTTTCACTACCCTGAGTGAATTTTAGAATTCAGGCCAGAGGGAAAGAGGTGGCTTGAACTTGCATGTGTGTTTTCCTTCTCAGGCTCTGCAGACAGCATGGGGAGGAGGTTGCATTCAGCCCCTGGCCTTGGTCTCTCAAAGACCCCAACAGCAGAAATGGAGCACAGTCTCTGTGAAGCCAGCACAACGCCTGCTTCTCAGGTAGCAACCTCACATGATACTGTCTGGGCTTAGGGTGGAGAAGAAAGTATGAAGAAATGTTAGTAGTAAGACAAGTGGAATGGTAATGTGAGACTGTCTGAATTAAACAGCATCTATGTGGCTAAGGAACCCTGATGACACAGTGGTTAAGCATTTGGCTGCTAACTGAAGGGTTGATGGTTTGAACCAAACAGCCACTCTATGGAAGAAAGATATGGCAGTCTGTTTCCACAAATATTATAACCTTGGAAACTCTATGGGACAGTTCTACTTTGTTCTGTACAGTTATTAAGAATCAGAATTGACTTGATGGCAGTGAGTTTGATTTTCAGTTTGGATAATTGGGTTTGAGTGATAGAAGATTAGCATATAGTCACCACCTTTCAAATATGTCTAATTCAAGTCTCTACTAGTGAGTCTTTCCCAGTTCCCTCCCATATACCTGGGAACAGGAAACAGAGTTTGTGGGTAAACCATAGGTCTGGTAGTTATGTGTCTACCTGTGTCTCTGTATTTGAAGGCTTCACCTTGCCAATACTTCAGCAGGAAGAATTCTTTTTGCATCTCATGTAGTATCAGTGCACAGGTATATCAGAAAGAGAAGAGGGAGGCTCCCATTCCAGTTTCGTAAGTAGAATGACAGTCCATCGATTCAGAGTATCTTCTTTTCTTTGATTGGTAAAATACAGTGCAAGTAAAGGGACAGGAAGAAACAGAAGGCTGTCCTTTGGGAGAAAGCCATATCCACTCAGATGAGGACAGAGAGTCACTTCTTTATTGCTACTACTTTACATTCAGTTGGAGCCCAGAGCAATATCCCTTCCTTGTGGCAGTTCTGGAAGTGTGTACTAAAGGGCTCCCCGTGGGAAGAAGAATCACAGGGACCTTGAGAGGAGTCTCTGAGAAGAAAAGATTTCTTACTGAGAAATTCTTAGAACTAACTGAACTATTCAAAGAAAGAGGGAAAAATTAAGTACTAATTTTCCATTATTAACTGAGGTCCAATATACTAAAGTGAAGTGTGTATATTAGCAAGACACATAAAATAATTTCAGACCCTCCTGAGGCTTTTCACATGGTAAATAAATGATAGATGTCATTCAGTTGACTTCGATTCATGGTTACCTTCCACACAACAGAACAAAAGAAACCTACCCCTGTGTCATCCTTACTTAAATGTTTGAGTTCATTGAGCTCGTGTGTTAGTCCTTACTAAGGGCCTCCCTCATTCTCACTGGTTCTCTTCTTTACCAAATATGATTAAATCCTCCAGCAATTGATCTCCCCTTATAATATGTCCAAAGCAAAAAAGTCAAGACAATGCCACGTTTAGGTTAATCCATAAAGTTTAGATTTTCATTGGCTAATTTTTGTAAGTAGATCACCAGGCCCTTCTTCCTAATCTGGCTAACTCCATAAGCACCACTGAAATGTGTCACCAGAAGTGACTCTGCTGGTATTTAAGCCACCACAGTACAATGAACTGACTGAGGGGTTCTGGTTCCATAGAGCACTAATGGCAGGAATCGGTATGAAGAAGGGACAAGAAAACACAAACAGGAGATTAATAAACTCAAATATTGTCAGTGGTTGAATGTAAAGGTGGTTGTATCTTTTGAGACTTTCACATACTTATGCACAGCAAGATGACCACTAGACCCTTTTAGTATAAATTTAAAAATAGATTATAAATGCATGCCATAAAAGGAAATACAATGAAAATTATGCCTTTGTTTAAGTTGTTGTTTTGTGTCATCAAGTTGGAACTGACTCATAGCTGACCCTCCAGCAGTTTTCAGAGGCAGTAAATTGCAAGAGAGGAGATTGTCTATCCTCTCACGGAGTAGCTTATGGATTTGAACTGTGTGCCTTTGAGATTGTAGCACAACTTTTTACTACTAGGCTACTGGAGCTTTTCGTATTCCATTTCTCTGCATAGAGGCACCAGTATTTCTGTTTATAAATACCTCTAGACAGCCTGCCATTTCTTTTTAGAAAATGTGGTCTTTTTTGCTCCATATTCTTTCTTATATACTTACAGTGCACTTAATGGTAAAATGGCTTTTTTTTCTCCCCCCTTTTCCTGTATTATTCACAAATTATTTTTTTAAAAACTCCAAACATAAGCTTTCTGAGCATATGTGCTAGAAATATGGTGAAGATGTGCTAGAAATATGGTGAAGAGTGAGCTAGGTAGAGTTCATACTTTAGAATGGAACTTATCTACTAAATAACAGTTGTTGTTATTGTCAAGAGAAACTGACCCATAGCTGACCCCCAGCAGTTTTCAGAGGTAGTAAATTACACGGGAGGAAAGTGCCCATCTTTCTCCCATGAACTTTTGGTGGATTTGAACTGATGGCCTTTGGATTGACATTGCAACTCCTTAACCCTAAGCCACCTGTTAGACTTCCTGTGACAGCAGGGGATTAATAAACAAGTAATTATAAAGAAGATTTGATGTTAAAGGAGCATAATAGAAGGAATATCTTAACCAGACTTTCAGGGAATCCTTCCTGGAGGAAGCAGGAAAATCCAGCAGATAAAGTACCAGCATCTATAAGGATGCAGAAGCAAATATTTACTGAATCAAAAGCAGCTCATTTGGTATGCTGTTGTTGTTAAGTGCCATACAGTCATAGACAACCCATAGTGACTCTATGAACAAAAGTCTTGAACACAAAACTTTACTCTTTTCTCCAAGTTCATAGTTTTCCAGAGGCAAGGGGTTTTTTTGGAAGTGAATGCCACTCCTGCTTCCAAGCCTATTTTATTTGGGAGATCCACAGCCTTTTTAAATAGGAGGCCAAATCCAATCATCTCACACCTTATTGTGAATAACAGACACACTCTAGTCTCAGCCCCAAACCAGAAAACACACATTAGCAGGTTCCGCTCATCTTCCTAGCTGGGGCAGGACCAAAACTATATTCTTTCTCCTTCCTCCAGTAGATATATTAAACATGAATGGAGATATCTATCTGGTAGACCTGTAGGTGCGAGACCTATGAACTGGAATCATAGCCTTTGAAAAGAGGAGATAAGACATATTCTTGAAGAGCATCACATTTAAAGTAGTTCCTTTGAAGAACACAAAATAGAAGCCAGAAAGAGAAAGGGAGCCTGGGAAGTGTGGTCTCATGGATAACAAGGGAAGAGTGTCAAAAAGAAAGGAGTGGTTACCTATAGTGAGATGAAGGCCTGCTGGTCTTTATGCTGTGTGATAATATCCTACCATGTTTGTGCTTACTATGTGCCACGCATGTGTACATGCTCAGACCATACAATGAAGTGCCTATAATGTTTCATGTACTGAAATGAATAAGAAACTTGAGATAAAAGCCAGTAAATTATATAATTCTAGACAATAAATATTATGGAGAGGTAAGAGCATTAAAAAAACAAAGATAGTGGTTGTTATAATTAGGGCTATTTAAGATAGCTTGGCAAGGGAAATCATCTGTATGTAAATAACATTTGATCACAGACATCAGTGGTGAAGATGAAAACCATGAGAAGAATATTCCAGGTAATGAAAACTGTAAGTATAAAGGCCTTGAGGTGAGTTATGGGCATGGCATGTTTGAAGAATTCAGAGGATAAGAAATAAGAATGGTGGGAAATAAAATGAGAAAGGTCAGCAGGACCAGATCACCTGGGACCTGCAGGTTGGTAAGTGGTAGCTGACTAGAGCTAGGAGGCTAATGTAGAGGTTCAGGTGAGTTTAAGTACAAAGATTTTTGTGTAGAAATGACAATATTTGTCAAAGGCAAATGAAATTATAGCTAGGAAGTGGGAATCAAAAGGCAATACCACAATTTGAATCTAGGTGAATTCGAAAAATAGTGGTATCATGAGAAATTTATTAAGAAAGTGGTTCCATTTTGGGCATATTAGTGTTTCAGAAGTCAAAGGGAGTACTTCTGCCACTTTATCACAAAAGTTAATAATTAATATACCAAACATAAGCATCATGAGTATAAATTTGCCAAGCAAATAAGGAAGTTGTGGAATGTTAGCAGTGGCAGGAGAGAAGATGGAAGTGGAGCCCGTGGTTCTGCATTTAAGTAGATATATTTTAGGTCCTCAGACTTAGAGGGAGAATAGAATCCTCTTTCCCAATCTCCCAGGTTTCTAGAATCTTTTTATTATTACTATTTCTGTCTCATTCTCCTGTTAGTATTAAGGAGTTTGCTAAAGATCTAGAGTGTAAGCTTGGAAAGGTGGGGACTATAAGAAAGATTGATTAAGTGATCTGAACTGTGGACTTTCCAAACTTCCTGGGTAATTAGGATGGGCTGACTAGAGAGACTGGTTGAGTAAAAAGGATCACTCCAGAACAATGGAATATTTGTGTTGTAGTTCCCTCTGCTTCCCCTTTGCCTCATTGTGTTTACCCAGCCACATCCTGCTGTGTGTTAATCCTCATCTTTGTTTTTGTTTGTCTTGTCTCATTATAAGGAGTCATCAAACTGGAGAAAAAAGCCTTTGGAAACCGGGCATCGTTGTTCCAGTTCCTCTTCCCTCTCTGTCACCTCTGACCCTTCTGTGTTTCTCCTTGGTCCCCAACTCTATCCTCCCCAACCACAGTTCCTGTCCCCAGATGTCGTGATGCCCGACATGGCAGGGGAGCCCCATAGACCCCAAGGTAACTCCTCCCAAATTTAATGTTATATTGTAGACAATGCTATCTCTTGGGTGGCAGGGTGTCTCCAAAGTGGGATGGTAAAGAATATGAATTACTGCTTTAAATCAAACATTGATCTAGATGAATTGTGATTGAATAATTTCTTGGGCAATATAGTTTCTAGAACCAGGGTCTAAACTAGTGCCTCCAGAATCTGACTAACCCCATGAAAGTGATCTGCTTTTAGTCATGATGTTGTTGTTGTATGCCATCAAGTCAGAACTGACTCATAGCTGACCCTCTAACAGGTTTTCAGAGACAGTAAATCATATGGGAGGAGATTGCCCATCTTTTTTCTGAGGAGCAGCTGGTGGATTTGAACCATGTGCCTTTGGAGGGCAGTACCTGGTTCTTTACCTGTAGGCCACCATAATTCCCTTTAGTCATGGTAAGATAAGTTTTTCAGTTACCAAGAGGAGTTAATACCCAATCTTTAGGAGCCTCCCCAAAGAGAAAGTTACTTACTTTTCTCTTCTTCTGCCTTCTGTGTCTCAGTTGAAAAGTGATCTAGGAGGACAAGAACTGAAATTTAGAATGATTTTGTCCATGAAGTCCCTTTTAATCAGTGAATCAGCCAAGCAGTTGGTTTCCTTTAATAGTTATCAAGGGCATCACTGATCAGTCAGGCATTACTGATTGTAGGCTGCACTTTAAAAAATAGTGAAAATATGAGCGGGGAAAAAGATGTCTTTCAGTTCTCTGAGAGCTGAGAGTTTAGGTAATCAGAATGTACATTCCTACACACAAAGGCATAGTGCAGATGTTGCTAGATCATTAAATAGTCTTTTTTAGAAGTGATTTAAAAAGTATTCTGTTTTGGAGAAAGAGGATTGAATAGATAAAAAGGGTTTTATCCCACATTGTGATTTGGGGAGGAGTAGGTTGAACAAAGAGTTCTCTGAGAATGAACAAGAATGTAAGCAGTTGGCATGAAGGTGCTATGTTAAAAAAGGCTCTACGGGTAGAGCTGTAGCATACTTTTGCTGTATAAGAGAGCTAGTTTGTGTGCATGCGTATGTACATGTATGTGTGGTGGAGGAAGAATTTTAAGAGTCTGAAATAGGACTAGGATAGCCATACTGGTCAGTTCCTTTGCCTGTGTTAATTTTGATGATATTGATAATTTTAAAAAATTAAATAAAAAGCAATGCTTCCTCCCACCCCCACCCTGTGAGAATGATCTTGAGGAGGGATGGGGAGTTAGAAGCAAAGAGCTGGGAATGGTCTGGGAAAAATGACTTTCTGAAGATGCTCAGTCTTGGGTTTCTTTTCTCTCCCCAGGAACTTCAAGGGATGCCCAGCAGTTTCTGGCTGTGTGTGACAGGGGTGAAACTTCACAAGGGATCAAATACACAAGAAAGACTTTGAACTACCGGAGTCTCCCCCATTGTTCCAGGAGAGATTCTTCCTGGGGACCCTGGTCAGAGACTAATCAGCACATTGGGGCCAGATTTCTGACCACTCCAGGGTGCCAACCTCCACTAACTCACACTGCCTCTCGACTAGAAAGACACCAGGGACTTCAGGTTCCTCATGCTCAGTCCTGGAGGGATCTCTCCCACTCTTCCATTCTTTACCACTTGTCCACACCATCCAGTAGTTTTCACGTACCCCCAAGTTCTGTTTGGAATTCGGCTGCTATTCCAGGATCCCGATCTTCTGGTCCTCGAAGAGTAGATATGCCCCCAGATGATGACTGGAGACAAAATAGTTATGCCCCTGAGTCTGGGCACAGGAGACCAGGGGCAGAAGGGCTTCTGTTTGTTCTAGCTGATGCCCCTGGAAGAGAACAAGTCAGGGCCAGAGGCCTGCCGCACAGCAGGTGGTAAGGGTTACCCTTTTCCTTTCCTGGAGTCATACCTTTCTTACAAAACTACTGTAGACAGAGTTGGTACCCTGCATTCTTGTCATGGTTGTGCCAATCTCAGCATAGAGTTGGCCATTTCCCCTCGGGATGCCAGGAACTTTTAAGGAGACCTGGCTCTTTGGGAAGGAATATGTGCAGTTCCAATTTCCATTCTGCTTGCAAAGGAAGCAAATACTGTTTAGGACTTTATTTGAGCCACTTGAAAGATGAATCCATAGTATTACTCTGGACATTAGCCATTCTTAAGTCACCACTTTATTCCTGGATATTCTATGCCCCCACCTCCACTTGAACCCTCATGCTCTATTCACTGCTAGACTCCCAACTTCTACTGTTGGTTTTATCTAACTATGCCTATTACTTGACCCTGTTATCTTTCTTAGCCCAAACCTTTGAAAAACATTTAGCCCTGTGGTTATGGTCCTGACTACATCATTCAGGGCAGCTCACTTGCCCAGGTATTACTGTCTGTCAGCTTTCCATGTGCCCCTAAACCTTAAGCCTAGAATGTGGACCTGCCAACATAACATTCACTTTGTAAACAGATGGAGTCAGGCACACTAACACAGCAGAACATTACTGCCACTTGCTCAGTCACCATTGTAAACCTTCAGAGTTAGCTGAACTATTTTAGGGCCAAATAATACTGGTTTTGTAAAGTATTTTTAATTAATAAATCTATAAGATAGTTCTATTTAATACTTGTAATGCTTGCTTTTTTGTATGCTCGGGCTCTGTTGTATTGGGGTGGGGAAGTTATTGCACAATAGGCAATACCAATTTTCAGTGGCCTGAGGCTCCCTCCCCCCCAAAAAAATCTCTGGCACAAAATATAGAAATATATTCAGATCTTGTTACATGTAGATTCCTCAGAGCAGTCTAAACTTCCTCCTTCATCACCATTGCTCTTGATTATATGTTGTTTCTTGAAATTCTTCTGTGTCAGCCAATTCTTTTTGATACAATGCCTATGTATACTCCTTGCATCTTTTAATGCTTCCTGAATCATTCATTATTCTGCCCATAGCATCCTTAGGCATTGCATCTCTTAGCTTGAATTTGTTCTTTAGTTCCTTCAGCTTAAGAAATGTTGAGCGAGTTCGGCCCTTTTGATTTTCTGACTCCAGCTCCTTGCACATTTCCTTATAATATTTTGACTTGCCTTCCCGAGCTGCCCTTTGAAATCTTCTATTCATTTTGCTGCATGATCACAACAAATTGTGGCTAACATTGAGAAAAATGGGAATCCCAGAACACATGATCTGCTTATGTGAAACTAGGAAGCAGCCTCAGAACAGAGCAAGGAAACACTGCATGGTTCAAAATCAGGAAAGGAATGCGTCAGGGATGCATTATGTCCCCATACCATTTCAAACTGTATGCAGAACAGATCATTCGTGAAGCAGGGCTTTATGAGGAGGAATGTTCCATCAAGATTGGGGGAAGACAACTTTGCTTGCTGAAACTGAAAAAAAAACCTGACGCACTTACTGCAGAAGTCAAGGACTGTAGTCTTTAATATGGATTGAAGCTCAACATCAAGAAGACAAAGATTCTCACCACTGGGCCAATTGTCAACACCATAATAAATGGAGAATAGACTGAAGGTGTTAGCAATTACAGCTTGTTTGGCTCCACAGTTAACATTTTTGGTTTTGGTTTGGTTTGGTTGTTTTTTGGGTTGTTGTTTTGTTTTGGGGTTTTTTTGTTTGTTTGCTTTTTTGGCTGAGTACTGTATACTTTATTGATGGTACATGACAAGATGCCTCCCCTTTCTCAGGGGGATTGGATGGAAACTGTGTCAAGGATATGAGATTCTCAGTGTGTGGGAGGATCGAGTTGGGACAAGGACTCCCCAGCAGCTGAGGGTCTCTCTCTCTTTTCTAGTGCTATTGCTGGGGCTGGTGGTCCAAGGGGTGCTTATTCTTTAGAGGCCATATGAACCATCAGGTCAACCACCTGGTTGCTGTAGCAAAATTCATTGTCATACCAGGAAATAAGTTTGACAAAGTGGTCATTCAGGGCAATGCCAGCCCCAGCATCAAAAGTGGAAGAGTGGGTGTTACTGTTAAAGTCACAAGAGACAAGCTGGTCTTCATTGTATCCCAGGATACCCTTGAGGGGCCCTTCTGATGCCTGCTTTACTACTTTCTTGATGTCATCATATTTGGCAGCTTTCTCCAGAGAGCAGGTCAGGTCCACAACTGACAAATTGGGGCTGTGGACACGGAAAGCCATGCTGGTAAGTTTCCCATTCAGTTAAAGGATGACCTTGCCCACGGCCTTGGCAGCGCCAGTAGATGCAGGGATGATGTTTGGGGCAGCTTCACAGCCATCACGCCACAGTTTTCCAGAGGAGCTATCCACAGTCTTCTGGGTGGCAGTGATGGCATGAACTGTGGTCATGAGTCCCTCTACGACGCCGAAGTTGTCATGGATAACCTTGGCCAGGGGAGCCAAACAGTTGGTGGTGCAGGAGGCATTGCAGACAATCTGGAGAGAATTGTCATACTTTTCATGGTTCATGCCCATCACAAACATGGGGGCATCGGCAGAAAGAGCAGAGATGATTACCCATTTGGCACCACCCTTAGGTGAGCCCCAGCCTTCTCCAAGGTTCTTCACAGATACGAGTGGACTCCACAACATACTCAGCACCAGCATCACCCCACTTGATGTTGGTGAGATCTCACTCCTGGAAAATGATGATGGCTTTCCCACTGATGACCACCTTCCCATTCTCAGCCTTGACAGTGCCGTTGAACTTGCCATGGGTAGAATCATATTGGAACATATAGACCATGTAGTCAATGTCAGTGAAGGGATCATTGATGGTGACAACATCCACTTTGCTAGAGTTAAAAGCAGCCCTGGTGACCAGGCACCCAATGCGGCCAAAACCGTTTACTCCAACCTTCACCATCATCGTGTCTTCAGGGATGAGGCTGAGGCTGCACAAGAAGAGAGGGCAATCTGGATTGACGAGGAACAGAGAGCCCACAATTTTTTTTTCTATAATTATATTTTATTAATTTTCATAAACATTTACAGAGATTTTGGGCTTCCACTCATTCATTGTTGCACTATTCTCTTTACCCTCCTCCCAGTTTGTTCTTGTCCAAATGCCACAGTGCTTGTCAAAGCCAGTTCTGATTAATCTTCTTTGTCAGTGTATCCTTTGCCATTCCCTATCACTCCTCCCTGAGAGAGACTTCACCCTGAGTCATAAGGAAAAGGGGACGGCGTATTCTCTTAGCTACTTCCTGCTGAAAAGGGACGCTGTGGGTTTCAGGGTGAAGATCTTCTCTCACTACTCAGAGAGCCCACAATTAACATTCTTAACATCAACAGTCAGGAAATCAAAAGACTAATTGCTTTGGGGAAATCTGATGTCAGGGACCTCTCCAAAGTGCTGAAAAACAATGTCAGTCCAAAGACTAAGGTGCGCCTAATCCAGGCCACAGTCTTCCCAATTACTTGTTATGCTTCAGAAAGCAGGACAATGACTAAGGATGACGGAAAAATCGATGCCTTCGAGTTGTAGTGCTAGAGAAGAGTCTTGAACATAGCAAGGACTGCCAAAGAAACAAATAGGTCTGTCTTGGAGAGGGTGAAACCAAGTTTCTCCTTGAAGACTAGGATTTTGAAGCTGCATCTCACTATACCTATGGATTTCACCTGATGGTATGCATAGTAATCAGGCTGATTTTCCACATCTGTGGAAAGAACCACTAGAAAAGCTCAATATCAGCTGTGAAAACTAGGCTAGGTACTGATTGTGGAACAGACCACTACTTACTCATATGCAAGTTCAAGCTGAAGCTGAAGAAAATTAAATCAAGTCCACAGGAACCAAAATTTGACCTTGAGTCTGTTCCACTTTTATTTCAAAACCATCTCTGGAACAGGTTTGAGGCCTTGGACATTAATGAGCAAAGACCAGGTAAGCTATGGGAGGATATCAGTAAATATCTAGGAAGAATGTAAAAGGTCATTACAAAGACAGAGGAGGGAGAAAAGACCAAGATGGATGTCAGAAGAAACTCTAAATATTGCACTGGATTGTCAAGAAGCCAAAGCAAAGGGAAGAAGTCAAAATATTAAGGAGTTGAACAGAAGATTCCAGACAGCAGCACAGGAAGACAAAGTAAAGTATTACGATGAAATGTGCAAGAAGCTGGAGTCACGAAATCAAAAGGACTCACTCAACATTTCTTAAGCTGAAGGAACTGAAGAACAAATTCAAACCTCGAGTTGCAGTACTTAAGGATGCTTTGGACAGAATATTAAATGATCCAGGATGCATTAAAAGCAGATAGAGTATACAAAGTCATTGTACCAGAAGGAATTGGTAGACATAAAAGAATTTAATGTACCACTGTATGAGCAATATAGCCTGTGGTGATGAAGGAAGAAGTTCAAGCTGCTCTGAAAGAATTTGGAAGGCCCCAGAAATTGACAGCATACCGATTCACATATTTCAACAGAAACTGCCCTGGGTGTTGTGCTCACCAAATTGTACCAAGAAATCTGGAGGACAACCACTTGGCCAACTGACTGAAAGAGATCTATATTTGTTCCCATTCCAAAGAAAGGTGAGCCAACAGAATGTGGAAATTATCAAACAGTATCATGGATATCACATGCAAGCAAGATTCTGCTGAAGATTATCTAAAAACGACTAGAACAGCACATCAACAGAGAACTGCCGGAAGTGCAGGCTGGGTTTAGAAGGGGTCGTGGTACTAGAGATATTGTAGCTGATGTTAGATGGATGTTGGCTGAAGGCAGGGGGTACCAGGGGAGTGTCTATCTGTGTTTCACTGATTATGTAAAGACATTTGACTGTGTGGATCACAACAAACTGTGGCTAACTGTAAGAAAAATGGGAATCCCACTTGATCATGTTTATGCAAAACCTATACTTGGACCAAGAGGAAGTTCATCAGAACAGAGCAAAGAAACACTGCATGGTTCAAATCTGGGAAAGGTGTATGCCAGGGATATGTCCTATCTCCATACCTTTTCAATCTATATGCAGAACAGATTATCCAGGAGGCTGGGCTCTTATGAGGAGAAACGTAGCATCAGGATTGGAGGAAGATTTATCAACAATTTGCGTTATGCAGATATGCTAGGTGAAATTGAGTAGTACTTGAAGCGCTTGCTGCAGAAGGTTAAGGGCTGCAGCCTTCAATATGGATTGAGGCTCAATATCAAGAAAACAAAGATTCTCACCACTGGGCCAATTGGCAGCATCATGATAGATGGTGAAGAGATGGAGATTGTTAACAGCTTTAGTTTGCTTGGCTCCACAATCAACACTCTTGGCACCAGCAGCCAGGAAAATAAAAGATGTATTATGTTGGGAAAGTCTGCTGTTAGAGACCTCTCCAAAGTACTAAAGAGCACTGGTATCACTCTGGAGACTAAGGTGTGCCTGATACAGGCACAATTACTTGCTATGTGTCAGAGAGCTGGACAATGACTAGGGATGATAGAAGGAGAATTGATGCCTTTGTGCTTTGGTGCTGGTGAAGAGTATTGAATATACCATATATTGCTAAAAAAAGGAACAGGTTTGTCTTAGGGTTAAACCAGGCTGCTCCTTACGGACAAGGATTCTGAAGCTTCATCTGACACACTTTAGACATGTTGCAAGGAGGGACCAGTCCTTGGAGAGGGACGTCATGCTTGGAAGTATAGAGGGACAGCGCAGGAGAGGAAGACCCTCTTTGAGGTGGACTGATTCAGTGACTGGGGTAATAGGGGTAGGTAGGTGTGTCGGAGACTGAGTTTGGTACAGTTAGAGTGGGGAGTAGGATGTACGCAGGGTTGCTATGAGTCGCAGGCGACTCGACGGCACATAACAACAAATATCTAAGGTAGAAATGCAGGATGAACTTGTTCAAAGCTCTCTGCACAGCATATCTCCTAGTATCATACACTCTTTCCTTCTGGTAAGCAGTGATAAGTCTGCTTTTGTCTTCCACCTTTGCTATGATATCAGTCACCCTGATTCCTAAATCACTTGGGTCTAAATTACCTAAGAGCACTACTTTACAAACTCAGGTCTTGAAGAGGATAAACACCCTCAAATGACTGCAGACATAGCCCCCATCTGGACACTGGAGCACAGGGTTGAAGATCTGTTCCAGCAGATGTACCCAAAAGATAAAAGTTCATTTCCAAGTTCCTTTGTCTCCCAAATTTTAATTTCTGAATGAATCCAAACAGAGCTTGCAATGTCCCTTTTGAGTGAATTTTGTAGACTTTCTCTTGGTGTCACTGGTTCCCTTTTTCTTACCTGTTTTATTCTTAACCTTTGGAGCCAAGGGTGCTCCAACTGCATTCTTATTCTATGCCCTCTAGCTCGAGACAATTCCAAACTAACAAGGGCCAGAATCACGTCTCACACTCTATTTGGTCACTTCTCTCTACAATAATACTACCTCTATTCTCATTCCAGTACTCAGATCTGGCAGCCAAATTGTTACACATTTGTTTCTCCATCAGTAGAAGATTCTGATTTGATCACATTTCCTCTCTGCACTCAAAGCTCCTTGAGAGCCTGTATAGTGTTTCATCTCACTCACTCATCAAAATAAATAGGACTTTCTACTCTCGGTTTCCGCTTGCTCAGAATTTTAACCTAATCCCTTGGTTTCGTCCTGGTTCTCTCTTAGCCTCAGTAATTTTGCTCAAGTCCCTAGAGCCTGCCCCGCCCCCGCCCCCGCACGCGCAGTGCATACTGGTCTCAGCCCCTCTGTAGGGAAAGAGGGTCCGCCATGTTCCCTGGCGGCGCCGCTGCTCGGCTCTGATAGCCGCCGCCCCCGCCCCCTGCCCTACCCGGCCTAGCGCCTGGCCGAGCCCCGGGCCTAGCATGGCTGCCCCGGAGCCGGCTCGGGCTGCACCGCCCCCGCCCCCGCTCCCGCCGCCCCCTCCCGGGGCTGACCGCGTCGTCAAAGGTGAGAGGTGGACGAAGCCCTGGGGGCCTGGCCTAGCGCAGGGTGTGAGGGCGGGCGGGAGACGGGCCCTTCGCGTGCGGGCCTGGGAGGGCAGGCGAGTGACTGGCTGCCTCCATTGGGGAGTGGCCCCTGGGCGGGCCCCTGCTGGGCCGAGTTGTTGGCGGTCCTGTCTCCTGTTTGCTTTAGGCCGGGCCTGGGCTCTACCCCCTCTGGGTTCTCGGAGCCTAAGCGGTGAGCCTGTCACTCGCATTAAGCCCTTTTCCTCTCCACCCGTCCTGTCCTAGCGGCCCGGGGCCTGTGATTAGTCTCCTACTTCAGGACAGCTGCATGCCACGCTGGCCCGCGTGGACCCAGGGGTTCGGAGACCTTCAGCCACGCGGGCCGGCCCGGAGCAGGCAGGAGCCCCCCCAGGCCCGCGCCGGCCGGGTCCTCAATGACAGGCGCCCGCCGGGGCCGCGCTCGGTTTGCGGTGCCTCCCGGTGCGGAAACGGAGGGAACCGCGTGTGATTGGACGGGTGGAGGGCCGCGGCCGGGAGCGGCAGCCTTGTGCGCCTAACGCGGAGTTGAAGAAATGCAGCGTGAAAAGGAGGGCCGGGAGGCTCGTGCAGGGGAGCGAGGGTGTGTGCTTAGGAAGCGCAGCCAGGTTAACGACCAAAGGAGAAGGAGAAGTTAAATGTTACCTTTGTTTCTCGGTGGGGTCCGAATTTATGAATATACATACCTGCAGCAGGTCAGCTTAATTTAAAATAGAGAAATGGAAAGCCAATTTAGAGTTGTTTTAAGATTTCCAAGCTTTGTGGAAGAGCGCTTCAGAACTGCTCTGGATGGGAGGGGGGGGGGGAAGCCGTTTGCTTTACCATTCAGTTATGTCAGTAAATTGATATCTCAACAGTTATTTAGAAAGAATGAAGTCTTTTTTATTGTGGTATTTACTACTTCTGACTATATTTCATTTGGTTTCTCAATACGCTAGCACAGAGTCCAGTTTTTGACATTCAACCGAATGTTTCCATTAAAATAAAAACGAGAAACACTTAATATAGTTTATCAGTTGGCCTTTCTTTGCATTAGAATGAGCGGAATAAAAAATTTGTGGAATCTTTGCCTTAAATCTTTTTAACCAAAAGTAATGAAAATTTTTGACAGTTCAGACATTTATCCTATTATGAAATCTTAGTTTTGTGAGGGTCAAAATGGTACATGAAAGGCTTTTCCATTATCACAATATGTTCATTATCAGAAATGTATTAATTTCTACTAGATGGGCTGACCAATCACATTTCTGAGCAATGGATTTAAATTTATGTGTATGAATCTTGTCCTTTTCATATGTATAATACTACTTTCCATCTACTGCCTTAATGTAAAAATAAGATTCCAAGTATAAGGTACATTCCTTAAGAGTTGTGAATACACGATCCAGTCATATTTGCAGTATGTTATTGTAAAAAAGCCATGTGTTATATATAAATAGGAAAGGAGCTTACTGGTTTAAAAATCATAATCAAGTAAAACACATGGCACTGATGATTTGAATCTAAGTCCACAGTGGTATGAATATTCTTCTGAAGCTTAAATAGTTAAAATCCAGATTTAAGTTCAGAATGTGGACCATTCTTTAATATGGATACTATAGTTGGTTGGTATTGAACCTAAGTCGTCTTTTTCTTTTTGTTTTTTTTATTGTTTCCAAATTTTGTGCTCTTATTTTTTATGGTCACATTGGTTTGAAGAGGAAGACCTAGATCTTTGGTAGCATAGTGGTTGGTTACTTCTTTGCTAATCAAAAAGTGCGGTAATTCAGTTCCATCGGCCCTGGGAAGCAGGGGATTCTTAGGCAATCTACCCCCATTAAAGTTTACATTCTTTGAAAGTGATGGAGGATTGGTGTGAGTGGGAATCTGCTCCACATCTGTGAGTTTGTGCTTGGTTAAAGTGTGTGTAAGTGTTTGGGAGGTTGGAATACTGTAATGTGAAAGCCTGCCACTGAAATTACTGGGAATTCTATATCTGACTTACGGATGGTTTACATCAGTCAGAAAGCAAATTTGGTTTTAAGTCTGCTTTATCCAGCTGCTAGTTCAGATCAGATTTTTTTTTAAAGTTAATGTCACCCAAATTATTTAGGTGAGCTAAGGTAGCTTCTTGAATACCAAATGAGTTGTTTGAACAGATTCAGCCTGAATGTGCTTTCTAGTCTATGCCAAGAAATTTGGAAGGCATTTGCCTGGCCAACTGGGTAGAAGATATCCATATTCATTCCCATTTCAAAAAAAAAAGTTGATCCAACAGAATACAGAAATTATCGTATGTTCATTAAAATCTTCCAGACAGAAATCTTTGTGAATATTATTTTTAAATAGCCGGAACATTAAGTAGACAGGAAACTGCCAGAAATTAAAGCTAGATTCCTAAGAGGTTATAGAACAAGAGAAAGGATTGCTGATGGATCTTTACTGACACTAGAGAATATCAGTAAGATGTTTACTTGTGTTTTATTAACTATTCAAAAGCATTCAACTATGAGATCATAGTAAATTATGGATAACATTGAAAAGAATGGAAATCCCAGAACACTTAATTTTGCTCTTGCAAAACAGAGGAACTCCATGGTTGGAAATCAGAAAAGATGTACATCAGAGTTGAATGCTTTCACCAAACCTATTCAGTCTGAGCAAATTGTTCTGAAAATGACTGTCTGAAAAAGAATATGGTGTCAGAATAGGAGGAAGGCATCACCAACATGTGTTAATGCAGATGACAAACCTTGCTTGCTGAAAGCAAAGATGACTTCAAGCCCTTACTGAAGAGGGGATCAAAGACTAAAGCCTTCAATTTGGATTACTGCTCAACATCAAGAAAACAAAACTCACAATTGAACAAGATCATGATGTTGTTGTTATGTGCTGTAGAGTCGTTTGCAACTCATAGTGGCCCTATGTACAACAGCCCTAAACCGTGCTCTATCCTGTGCCAATCTCATTGCCTCTGACACACCCATCCCGAGTGCCCCAGTCACTGAATCAGTCCACCTCATAGAGGGTCTTCCCCTTCTGCGCTGTCCCTCTACTCTACCCAGCATGATGTCCCTCTCTAAAGACCTGTCTCTCCTTACAACATATCCAGAGTATGTCAGATGAAGCCCCAGAATCCTTGCCTCCAAGGAGCAGCCTGGTTTAATCCTCTCTGTGATGAATCTGTTTGTTTTCTTGGCAGTCCATGGTACATTCAATACTCTTCTCCAGCACCACAGCTCAAAGGCGTCAATTCTCCTTCTATCCTCCCTAGTCATTGTCCAACTCTCTGATGCATAACAAGTGATTGCAAAAACCATGGCCTGTATCAGGCAGACCTTAGTCTCCAGAGAGACACTGTTGCTCTTGAGTATTTTGGAGAGGTCCCTAACAGCAGACTTTCCCATCGCAATACGTTTTTTGATTTCCTGGCTACTGGTGCCAAGAGTGTTGACCGTGGATTTCATATTACTTGACTCTAGTAAGCATCCATGATAGCAGCAGTCAAGAAATCAAGACACATTGTTTAATTGGACAAAATTGCTGTTGAAGACATCTTTAATAAAAGCGCATATGTGTCAGTTTAAAGACTAAAAGTGTCCCTGGCCCGAACCATATTTTCATTTACTTAATATGCATATGAAAGGGGTGGGGGAGGTGTTTGTGGACCTGGACAGTGACTAAGGAAAACTGAAATAGAATTGATGCCTTTGAATTGTGTTGTAGAAGAGTAATGACTATACCACAGACTGTCAAAAGAACAAAATTTGTCTTGGAGGAAGTGCAACCAAGAAACTTCGGGCAATCAAAACAACTTTGAGATTATCATCTCACCCCAGTCAGAATAGCAAAATTTAACAGAACAGCAAACAACAAATGCTGGCGAGGTTGCGGAGAAACTGGGACTCTTACTCACTGTTGATGGGAGTAAAATGGTGCAACCACTATGGAAGGGTGTGTGGCGCTTTCTCAAAAAGTTACAAAAAGAAATACCATTTGACCCAGCATTACCTCTACTGGGAATATACCCTAAAGAAACCATAACTGCCACCCAGGCACATATATGTACACCCATATTTATTGTGCCTTTGTTCACAATAGCAAGGATTTGGAAACAACCTAAGTGCCCATCAACAAACGAATGGATAGAGAAGCTGTGGTGTATTCACACAATGGAATACTACGCTGCATTGAAAAACAAGGAATGCATGCAATATTATTCAAAATGGGTGACCCTGAAGGACATTATGCTGAGTGAAATATCTCAGCACAAAAGGACAAATACTGCATAGTGCCACTGTTGTAGAACGGGACTGACATTAGGATTGGGGTGAGACTGAGAAAAATTGGATAAACTATGTATACTGCATTGAAACAGATGAGGGAGAGAACAGTTTAAAAGCAATACATGATTGGTTATTATGATTATGACAAGAGTCCAGAATGAAGGTTACGTAGTGGAGTGTATTGGGGGTGGGGAGGATTGTATATCAATAAAAGAATTTTTCTTTTGCTTTTCAAAGAGAAGAGCGAACTGGGGCGGGGGAGGGTTGGGCAGGGAGAAAAATGCAACAATGAATGAATGGAAATCCAAAATTTCTGTAAGTGTTCATTAAAATTAATTTTTTAAAAAAACAAAAACTTAGGGCTCCAGTTGTTGGGAAATAACAGTATGCTTAGAAAAGTATAGGGTCAGTGAAAGAGAAGAAAAATCTACAACTTACTGATTGTAACAATGTCTTGAGCATGACAGAGATTAATGAGGATAGTGTGGGATAGGGCAAGGTTTTGATCTGTTTCTCATAGGTTTGCTGAGTGGTAGTTGACTCAAATGCATATAATACCACTTACTATGCCCTCATATCTTTCCTGTTATTATTTTCTGTAGCTAAGAAAATCCAGGCAAAGGAAAACAACTGTTTATGCTTGTGTGTGTGTGTGTGTGTGTGTGTGTGTGTGTGTGTGTTGCCACCATGTCAGCAAAAT